AAGCCCAGGGCACTTGATAGAATGAAATTAACTACAGTTTCACCCAGGAGCCAGAAATGCCTTTTAAATAAGCAAACAGGGAAGCTGATCCTCCACATGACCCACCTCTGAGAGCTCTCCATTTTTCAAGAGCTTCTGGTCAACTAGGGAAGCAAATGGCAGCTGCCGGCAACTCAGGACTCCGGCCCAGGGCATCGGCCAGTGATGATGAGTGGCTTCTACCTGTGGGTGGGTAAGTATGAAATGCCGAGACCAAATCCCAACCAATTCCAGAGACTACTTGGTCTTGTAGAAAACACACTCAAGCCAATAAAAATAAATTGTGGGGGTTGGAAGAGGAACCTCACCTGGTGAGTTACTGTCTTTGAAAGATGTATTTCCAAGCCATTTTTAAAACAGGAAGGCCCAGCAGGCATGCGTGCTTGTGTCTATTGTGGGGTAAGGGTGAAAAAGTGTAACGACAAAGACCATCACACTGAACCAAAGACAATTTAACACAGGACGTGGCCTGCCCACTGACATAAGGGCAGAACTCCACCACGGCAGGGCCACACGGGCACAACAGCCTAACTGTTAGCACTCAGCTGGTGGCCAAGGCTCCGTCCTCTGGTGCAGGGCAGGACTTAGATGTATGTGCCCAACCACAAGGCCTCTCACAGGGTTACGTAGCCAGTCATGGCAGATATAGATCCTGGCTGCTACCAGAAAATTCTGAAGGGACGGAGGAGACCTTTGCAATTTCTTCTACCTTGACTCCTTCCTCCAGACCCACAGGTTCACATGGGTTGGCAGGCTACATGATGAACTGGACTGACTGGCAAACAAGTGACTTAAATAACAGGTAAACTGGGAATAGATGATATTTTTTTGTCATCCACAGGGCAGGAACTATTGTCGAGTTCACCCCTCCTGCCTTAGGAGGAGACATCTAGATACCCGCAGGTGGTGAACTGAGACTGGGGATAAGGTCCAGAACTCAGAAGGGACAGGGAGTTATTTCTGAAGGGTTTTGTGTAATATTCTGTGGCACGTGGACAACAGAGGAGAAGAGGAAAGGAGAAGGAATGTCATCACTTAGCAGGATGATGACAGAAAGCCAGAACTGCCAACTCGAGACAGCACAGCCATGGATGGGCAGCTTCCGGTCAGAGCGGGTGGGGCTCCTAAAAGGTGCTCCAGGACTTCCTAATGCTCCTGATGCCACAGGATGACGTTTCTACCTGAAAAATCATGTCCTGACCCTTGTGTTAAAGAGGACAGAGTTGGGAATAGTCTATAGAGTCGATGTTTACAAAATTTAAAGTTGACCATCTTAAATGTCTCAATTCTACCAGGTCCATAATGTCCACTCTCTTGAAGATATCCTTTCAAGTTTTGAAGAGCCAACCCCTGGGGAGAGGGAAGATATATCTTAAGATGAGTTTTCTTAAAGTGGTTCCTAAAACAGAACCAAGCTCTTGTTAATGTCAACATGAAGAAATAATACGTAATACTTTGTCCCTTTTGTCATCAGTAGTATGGACTGAACTGGAGCCTGTGTGTGGGAGGGGAAGAGTGTGGCGTGGGGAGGGAGCAGGGGAGAGAGCAAAAACATGACTCCAGGTCAAAGCCAATCCCAAAGGATCTTGAAATACGGAAGGGAAGTCCATCATCTCACTGAAGTTGCTCACACGCGTCTCGGGGAAAAACCCCTAGTACACACTAAATGAGAGGAACCTCGAAGGCACTGGTGCCGGACTGCATCCACGGAAGCACCACATTCCAAAACAGGGAACTGTTTGTTCCAGGCCACAGACTCTGGGTGAAGTGGCAGTTGTACACTGTTTACTGTGGGCATCTCATTCATACAAAAGGAATTCTGAGCAGAGTGAAAGAAAGAATTGAGGGGTGAAATGGACCAGGTTTTAACAGACGATTAAAACAATGATGTCTGCAGAGCTGGCCACATAAACACCCCAAACAAAACACAAACCCTGAGCGAGAAACAGGTCTAGGTGTGTTGGTAGAAAGAAAGAGAACCCGGGGAATGACTCGACAGTGCACTTATGCAGAGCAGTGGATCAAACGGAGGCCACAATCCCCGGGTGGGGCACGGGCTCCCCCACAGCTAGATGGCCCAATGGCCTCAGCCTCAGGCCCGTCCTCGTCCCTCACTCCTGAGAGTGCTCCCATGCAGATAGATGGGATCAGAGGCAAAGCAGAAGCTCCACCAATTAAGGTGTTTCAACTGTAACCAGAAGAGGCATTTGAAAAACACATGGCAAGAGACAGTCTTGCAGTGACCTTCAAGTGACAAAAATTACCCCAGCACCCAACAGCCCTTTCCTGAACAAACGATTCCTACTGACTGTCAAAACCTCGACCACTCTGGCTGGGAGAAAAATTCCTGAATTGTGGTCTATCCCATCATTTGGGAATTGCTGTTTCATTTATATGAGGAGGCAGCGAAGGAGCAGTCGGATGATCCGGAGAGGAGCAGGTGGGCAGAGGGCTTTGGAGGGGCTTAGGAGGGATGCCTCCAGGAGGAAATGAAGCTGACGGAAAAACTGATAGAGCAGAGCGTTCAGAGATTAGGAAATGTCTACTTCTGGCAGAGTAAGGTTCGCCATGAATTAATCATAGGTACCTAGAAAACCAGAGAAAACAATAAGTTGTACAAGAAGGTAAATGAAATTATAAAACTCTACATGGCTCAGCTGCGATTAATATTTATAGTTATAATAATGAAAACACTGAATATTAATATAACCCCCAATTATTATTTAATCATAATAGAAGGTGGAGGGAGGAAGGACTGAGTGTGGAGGGGGCTAGGGAATGGGAGGGAGTCCAACTGGGGTATGGAGGGTGCAGGTGTGTGCGGGGCAGTGCCTGTGTATTTGTGGGTAGAGTGAGGGTGCTTGTCAGTGTGTGTGGGGTGTGTGGGGGTACAGTGTCTATGAGTTTATGATGTTTGCATGTGGGGGGTGCAGTGTATGTGGGGGAGGTGCACGCGGATGGGGCGTGTGGGTGCAGTATATGGCTTGTGTGGGTGTGTGAGCGTATACAGGGGGTGTGTGTGTATACACAATGTATGTGGATATGGTGTCTTGTCTGTGGGCTGTGTATGTGAATGTCAATGGAATGTGTGGGATGCAGAGAAAGTGTGTGTGTGTGCGCGCGCGTGCGTGCGTGCGTGCACAGGTGCAAGAATGTGTGTGTATGAGGTATCAGGGCTGGTGTGTGTGCCATCTCAGTGAGTTTGTGGTTGGGGTATGGGTGTAGGTGCATACGCAGGTGGGTTTGTGGAACAGCACACCAGTGAAATCCTCATCTGCCCAGGTAGAAAGTCAAGAGGTAACATCTAAAACTTAAAAACAAGATACAGTCGTAGAAGCATGAGGAGAAACACGGAAATAAGTAACAAAAGAAACATCTGAAAGTCGAAAGCTGATCCCCTGGAAAAGGGGATGGGAAAGGGGCATGCTCTTCTTCATATAATTTATGTAACTTTTTGCATTTAAAAATTATAAAAACGTGTAATTTTATTATATTAAGGTTAAAGCTGCACACACCCATGATGGCCGAATGGCTGAGAAGGCGCTGCGGGAGACTGAGGGACCAGGAGTGGCCTCGAGTCTCTGGCTTGGCCAGGCCGTTAGACAAGCTGTCATTAAAAGTAAAAAGAAATGTGGCAGAGAGACTGGTGAGCAAGGGGTCCAGGAAGTGTGACCAATGAGATGTCCAGGAAGCTCAGCATCTGGGAGGTGGGGCCAGTGGCGTCCAGGAAGCTGTTCAAGAGCATTTGGCAGCACCAAGAGATCAAAGCTCAAGAGGCTCAGAGCGGAGGACCAGGCCACAGTGCCCAATGCCCAGGCACACGGGGCAGGCTGAGAACCACCAGCCAGGGTCAGGCTTGGAGACTGTCAAGGGAAGCCGGAGGACAAGAGGAAAACACCCTGGAAGCCAAGGGAAGGCAAGGGAAGGGAAGGGAGCTTCAAGAAAGGGCTGGGCAACAATTTCAAACATTGCAAAAAGAAAACAGTCAGGCCCAGCGCATCCTGGGCTGTGTCAGTCAAAAATCAGCAGCACCCTCCCAAGAGCGGCTGGGTGACAGGAAATGGGTTGTAGGAGGTTGAGCCATGGAATAGAGGTGAGCAGGTCAGAGGGTTCTCTTAAGAATCTGGAAGATTCTGTCATAGAGAGAGCAAGGGACCTAGGATGAAAGGAGAGCTTTTCTTGGAAAGTTTTCATTTCGAAAGAGGCGAGTGACTGTCTTATGCATCTAAGTTGAGCACAAGAGACCCGAAGATTGAAAAAATAGAAAAGAGGAGGTGATTCTACCCAATGAAGTCCCAATGGGAGGGGGAGTCATGGGTGGAGGGAGGGAAGTGGGGAAAAAGGTGGCTGCAGGGAGGAGACATGGGGAGGTAGAAACGAGGCGAGCTCCCACTAGAAGGTCTAGACACATTGAAGTAGCAAGCAGCGTGGACCCAAGAAGCACCCAAAATCACTCCCAAATACAACTGAAATTTTTATAACAAGCACGTGTTTTATTCCTCTCTAAAGTTCAATTTTACTGACCAGACTTTGAGGCCACAAATTGTCTACTCTTAATACTGAGCAGGACACACGATGTAGCATTTGCTATGTCAATCTGAACCAATAAATTGAATCTAAAGTATGTACTGGAGGAATCTTAGAATAGAGAATATCTTCTGTTGGCCTGCTCCCTGGGTAGTAGCTTGTGACCTTCCTAAGACTGAGCCTTGCTCCAAGAAAAGTGCTGCCAAGTTCCTTTAAAAAAAAAAAAAAGAAGAAGAAGAAGAAGAAGAAAGAAAAGAAAAAGACAGAAAGGCAGGCAGGCAACAATCCCTGCACGTTCCTTCCAAAACACAATGCTCACCTGTGAAGTCAGTAAGGAACACGAGGACCAGCTAAATCAGTAATGTCTCCCTCAAACAGAAGTCCTCAGGAGGCCTCAAGGAGGTGAACACCCAGGCCCAACCTGGGCCTCCCACGCCTGCAAGATCACTCACCTGGGTCCGTGGAGGGGCACCTGCGGATGGTGAAGATCTGCCCCAGGTCCTCGTCCTCCTCTGGAAGGCCCTTCTGCAGCCGCTGCAGCTTTCGCAGGCTCTCGCTTCGCTGGTGCTTCATGGAGCGCACATGCTGGATGAGGTTGAGCTTGGCCTTGGTGGAGTAGTTGCACAGAACGCAGTGGTAGTAGCAGCTTTCACCTTCCACACCACTCTCATGCTGCTGCAGGTGCTGCGAGGGACAAAAGAGAAGGACATGCCTCGGATAAGCCACTCAAAGCCACCACTGGCATCAGCCCACACCATCTTGGTCACAGGCAGAGGCATGCCTTCAGGGGACACATCTCCACAGCCAAACAGGACAGTCTTTGATATGGTTTAGCTGTGTCCCCACCCAAAATCTCATCTTGAATGAGTAATCTGAACTGTAATCCCCACGTGTTGGGGGCAGGACCTCGTGGGAGGTGATTAGATCATGGGGGTGGTTTCCCCACGCTGTTCTTGTGATACTGAGTTCTCATGAGACCTGATAAGTTTTATAAGGGGCTTTTCCCCACTTCACTCAGCACTTCTCCTTCCTGCTGCCATGTGAAGAAAGACATGCCTGCTTCCCCTTCTACCATTATTGTAAGTTTCCTGAGACCTCCTCAGCCCTGTAGAACTGAGTCAATTTCTTTCGTTTGTAAATTACCCAGTCCTGGGCAGTTCTTGGTAGCAGCACAGTAATGGACTAATGTAGTCTTCATCTGTGAGACTCCTTAGAGGGGTTTTGTTTTCCCCAGAGTACCATTCTCTAGCAGCTCTTTGAAGAGGCACAGCAAGCTGATACCCATTCCTGTCTCCCCCAAACAGCCCCGGCCATGTGGCTTTTCAGAATGTTGATAATCCTGATCACATGGGCCCTCTCAGTGCAACACTGGCTTTCCTGGCGCAAGGTTAAAGGTTTCCCCTTTTGTTCTCTAAAGTGTCCTTCTCTTGTTAGATCAGGGGTTGGCAAACTACGGCCCACAGGCCAAATTCAACCCACGGCCTGTTTTTTGTAAATAAAGTTTTGTTGGAACACAACCACGTCCATTGATTTACATACTGTCTATGGATGTTTTTGAAACATCAGAGTTGAACAGCTGTGACAGAGATGGTATAGTCCACAAGGTCTAGATTGTTACTACAGAAATGTACTAAATTATGACAGGAAAAGTTAAACCAAACCCTGGTTCAGGTAATAGCCTCTGGTCATCCTGCCTGTACAGCACCCTAGGTCAGGAACATGGAGCCAGAGCTAGTATCTGGCTTTTTCACAAGACAACTCCAGTGTTTGTATTAAAAACCACAGTCTACTGGGAGAACCCCAAATTAGGTTTTCCCCTAGATTAAAAAATGCCAGAAAAATAAATTTCTTCAGACGAGCTCCCTGTCAGTATCTCAAAGTCATCTGGCTTATCATTGGCCAATATCATTGGTAAGTTGGTGTATCAGATGATCAGACCATCCAAATTACGTCCTCTGTTGTTTTTAGTAGACACAGTGTTGATCCCAGAGCATGGCAGCCTAAGAGCCCCCAGGAGGCAGGCACAGAAAGGATTCATGTCTGGGGTATCAGAATAGAAGAGGTCATGCAGACAGGTGGCAGATCCCAGGCTTCTGTGGCTAGGAAGACTTAAAGGCAACCTAAGAACAAAACTCACAATGTTTCTGAGTCTCCTAGGAATGTAATGAAAGCTGTGGACTCTTTTTGACTAACACAGAATGAATGTGCTCCTGGTGTAGAAAGGCCGTCTCCTTCATTTCCAATGATTCATTTTAGGGGAAGAGGGAATTCTTTTATTGGGTACACATGAAGCAAGGGAAACACTCCCAAAAGCTTAAATGACTGACCCAAGGTAACCCAGTTAGTTGAGGGGAGAGAGAGATGTAGAACCTGAGGCTTGTCTCCTCCAGCCACGTACCCAGCACCCTTTTGAAGGAGGAAATTCAGGTCATGTGAGTGCTTCATGTGTTCCTGTGATTACGTGTCCTTCCTTTTTCCTCCTCACCACCTGCCCTCAACCCCCAGCCCAGTCAGCCAAACCTGGCCCTTGGAGCCATGGCAGGCACACAACAAACATCTCGGAACTGCCCATGTTGCTTGTCTCCTTTCTGACCCACACTGCTTCTGTCTGATGTCTATGCCGGGATAATGGTTTCTAGTCTTGCTTGGATGTCTCATCCTTGCCCAGCTCAGAATGCAAGACACTGACAAGCTAAAATGGTTAGAATGCCCTGAACTCCACGCAATCCTGAAAATACCAGAGTGGCCCTGCTGAGTGCTTCCTATCAAGGGACACTGCCCTGAGGCTCACGTACTGACATGCACACACCCTGTGTTCACGGATCACGTGTGAAAAATCCAGAAGCACATTTGTACTTCGCTGGAAGAAGAAACATAAATGCACCAACTAAGTGTCACAGAAAACTCATGGGAGGGGGGTTGAAGTCCTCAATCACATAAACTGGCTCAAGTGTCCCACAGGAAATCTTGCCAACTTGTACATAAGAATGCGACGAGCTTCACAGGCACCAAGAGTGTACAATCTCTTCTGCCCCCAAAATGGGTGATTCACACACTCAAATGCAGCACCTTGGACAAAGTCAAATTTCTATAACAAGAAAGTGTTGGAAGAACCACTGAGTTCAATCTTAACTATTAGAAAAATTACAACTGGTGATAAAAACCTACTTTTCTGGAGATAAATTTGAGGGGCTTTTTGTTTATTTTTTATTTATTTATTTATTTATTTATTTATTTATTTATTTATTTATTTTTTGAGACAGGATCTTGCCCTGTCACACAGACTGGAGTGCAATGGCTCAATCTTGGCTTATTGCAACCTCCGCCTCCTGGGTTCAAGCAATCTCCTGCCTCAGCCTCTTGAGTAGCTGCAACTGCAGGCGTGAGGCAGCATACCTAGCTAATTTTTGTATTTTTAGTAGAGACAGGGTTTTACCATGTTGGCCAGGCTGGTCTCGAACCCCTGACTTCAAGCAATCCACCTGCCTCAGTCTCCTAAAGTAGCTGGGATTACAGGCGTGAGCCACTGTGCCTGACCTCTGAGCTGTTTTTTAAAAATGATTTAACTTCACTGCCTTCTCTGCGATGAGGTTCCTTTCAGAGGGTGTCAGGAGGACGCAATGTGCTGAGGCAGTGCTTTCTGGAGGTTACAATCCTGGGGAGAAGGCAGGCAGAAGTGAACGGAGAAGATGAGCTAGCCCACATCCCTTCCCCCAAACTACTCCAAGAGGACCCTCAGAACTCAGAAGCCACAAACAGGACCAGGATATTCCAGGATATTCCATTTAGTTTGTCCTAAAACCGAGGAGCTGGAAACCTGTAAGGGAGCCAAGAACTGCTATCTTCGGTCACCAGGACCAAAAGAATGATATTCATTAAAGCTTCAACTAAAACTGAATGAATAAAAGATAGCAGAGACAACAGCCATGAAATTCAAAGAAATACGTTCCATCAAGAGATTATGGAGGTAGAATAAACTATGAAATCAGATCAAGAATCACTAAAGCCTTACCTCCAATCCCCCACTACACTTCCCTATGAAACAGGATTTCCTCACAATAAGGCATTGAATTTCAAACATCAAATTTGAATATGGATGTGTGAGAGTTCTATTCCAAATGGCTGGAGTCTTCAATCTCTGAGCCAGAAGAGAGGAATAACGTGGCCAAAAGAGTTGGATGGAAATACGATGTCAAATGTCTTTTGTCCTTAAATCTATGGGCTCTTGGGTCATAGGACCGTATAAACCCTGGACTGAAATAAACATCATACCGGGGACTCACACTTTAAAAAATGGATATGATAAAGATACTCTAAAATCCACTCCACACTCTAGCTCATGTTGGTAAACTACAATCTCTTACACTGCCATGAATTCTTTTGTCTGCCACTTTGAGAGCCATTTTAGCAAGAAACTGGGCATACACTAAAAATCGTGGAGAAAAGAGTAAGAGGAAACAAGAAAATGGAGCCATGGCTGCTCCCACCTACCCTGGTCGAGTGAACACACCTAGGGTCCTCTCCTAGAAACTTCCATGAAAGATTCATTCAAAATTCCAAGCTTGCCTTGTATTCCAAGTTTATTCTCCAAAACACTTAAAAAAATCCAGAATGGGCCGGGTGCAGTGGCTCACGCCTGTAATCCCAGGACTTTGGGAGGCCGAGGCGGGTGGATCACCTGATGTCAGGAGTTCAAAACCAGCCTGGCCAACATGGTGAAACCCCATCTCTACAAAAATACAAAAAGTAGCCGGGCGTAATGGTGGATGCCTGTAGTCCCAGCTACTTGGGAGGCTGAGGCAGGAGAATCGTTTGAACCTGGGAGGTGGAGGTTGCAGTGAGCCAGGATAGTGCCACTGCACTCCAGCCTGAGCGACAGAGCAAAACTCCATCCCAAAAAAAAAAAAAAAAAAGAAAATACAGAATACACTATATCTTGGTTGCCAAGAAACAGCTGTGCATAAACCTAACATCCCAACCCAAACTTCTGCTTGGCTCTACTGATGTCTACCTGCATGTGACAAGTCCTATTCTCCCCAGATTTTCCAAGTGTCTTGTTATTTTTTAAGTTGTCCAACCAGAAGTAAACAGAGACCCAAAGCTAGCAGCAGGGTCCTGACCTCTGTGACCTTCTCCACATCATTCGGCCATTTCCTAGGCCCTGAGCGGCTCAACCCTGACCCCGTTGGTCAGATCCTCTCTCCCTTCCTTCCAAGTGGCACTGGCCTTATCCCCAGAATCCCACCCTTGGAACCTGCCTAATAAAAAGCAGCGGTAGGGAGTGTGCTAAGAGGCCCATGAGCACTCCACGGGGCAAGTCAGTCAGCCAAGAACATGCCTTCCCCGCAGAAGAGAGTGGATGTTTTCATTTGGAGGAGGAGGGAGAATAATTTGTTCCTGACCCAGCTAATTAGAATACCCTCAATTGGGATCACAATGTATTTAATTAAATTCACTGTAATATATGAAGAATCCACCAAGGCACAAATCCCAGTGGTGCACTCAAGAAAGGAGCTGCCTGCTTTCAGAGTTCTTGCTCTCCTCGCCAGGCAGGAAATTTTTCTCCCACGCAAATCCTGAATTCCCCAACCCCTTCCGCCTCTATCACAGAGCTCACCCGCTGGGGAGGAGGGCAACCGGGTTCTGTTTTTACTTTTTCCATTTTCTTTACTCTGTGCTCACAA